CCTTCGTCTTCACCTTCAGATGAGATACTTATGACGCCTACAACTCCAAACAAAAAAATAAGATACCCAGGCGATATCACAGATGACATATTAGAAGAAATGACTCCGAGAAGATTGAAAAAATATGTTCGATTGCTGAAAGAAGCTTGTAGAAAGAAAGATCACATAATCAAGCGATTACATACTGAAAAAACCCGACAAAAGAAAAAGATTAAAACATTACAAGAACTTCTATCGGATTTGAACAAAAAGAATTTGCTTTCTTCAAATACTTGCAATTTGATTGAGGTATAGTTTTTGATTTTTATCTTCCCCGATGGGCATATTATGCGAATATTGTATAATAATAGCATTACGAATTAATGAAAATTTTGAATAATTGTGCTATGACACGTTAGAACAAAGCAGTTGTTACGATATAAAATCTGTAAATAATATAAACTGAAAACGAAACGCGTATTTAGTAAAACAAGAACGAACCATTTTTTATTTAGCAGTACTTCTGGATCTCTTCAATTATTTATTCGGAGTTATTCGTACCGATTCTTACTTAAAATGCAGCTAGTTAGTTCTTGATTTGGCCAACTTCCGGACCTGATGGCTCTGAGATCTTGGATACACGGTCCTCTCTTTCTATCTTATGGAAAAGGTAGGAAAAGTGGGGGTAACTAGCAGTCCAGAGGTATATAGTCAAAGGTGTAAACGTAGTAATTGAAGGGTATGGTCTGATTGACTGTCTAAATCACATAATCAGAGCGCCATTTTAATTCATTACTGCGTATAATTAGAGTCCTAGGACTCTACATATAGATATATACGTATATAATATATGTACTAATAATATATGATGTATATACTATTAAGTACGTATGATGTATATACTATTAAGTACATAGTACTATAAGTACGTATAATTTCTATACTTTCTTCTTTTTCTAACAATTTAACTTTCCTCATATAATAGCGTTTTATAGCGTTTTCGATTGGGCAAAAGTTAGTGCGCACCAGTGCGCACTCAGTTCACACCAACACTGGACGAGTTCCATGGGTTGCACTGAATAGTGCAAGTTCAAAAAAATACGCCAAGATTTTCAGTGCTAAAGCTGAAACTCATTTTTGTTCACTTTGAAGCAATGTTCAACAAAATGTTACAAAACCACAGTAAAAGATATTAAGAATAGGGACAAGACCCCGTTTTTAATTCAACTGCGCAGATTTGCTTGTCCCTATGTATATCCTTAACTGTGATAAAACGTGCACTGAACTAGCACCGTCAAAATATCTCGTGCCACATATCTAGTGCGCACTGAGTTCGCACTACGCGAGTGTCGTGCGATCAAATGAACACGTGACACTAGCCAAGTGCGCATTGGCACTGCCAATCGAACACGCTCATGACACTGAGTGCAGCCAGTGCACCTCAATCGAAAACGCTATTAGATTGGGAAAAAATTAGCGCGCACCAGTGCGTACTCATGAGTACGTGAACTGATCAGTTCACACCAACACTGGACGAGTTCCATGAGTTAAGCCTGCCGC